TGAAATGATCAGATTGTGTACGTTACCTGTTTGTTTCCAAGACGCATTTCCGTAATAAATTTACGGAAAAGAAAAGCAAGAAATATGCAATTGGAGGCAAATTACTTGGGGGGCATACTGGTTGGTCCCGAAGGTTCGAAACATGGTTGAATAAAGTCATGGTTCTCAGGAGGATAAGGCCGACACCACGGAGCAAACAATCGAGCCGCCAGTATTCCGTCGAGCTGATTTGGCGGAACACGGAAACGCCGTCTAGTCGTTATTTAATAGTTGATGACGTCATTGCTATTGTTGAACTGTCCTATTTCGGAGAGCCTTCAAATAGGCTCTATGGCACTCAACGGTAGTAGCATACAGCCTACCAATAGGCTACGTGACACTCCATGGGTTAAACTACTCCCCAGACTTAAGATTCAACCTTTTATTGAGAAATTATGGTTAAAACTTTCTTCAGATTATGATTCCAAAAATACACCGATGTCTTTCTTGTACAGAATCTTTCTAAACGTTTATATATATATAATTAGCAAGCCTGAAATAATGACATATTTGAAATCAAACTAACGAAAAACAAACCAAATTCAAATTATCTATAACAGTTTTTAACGATGGTCTCTTGAGCAAAGCCATTTGAATGCATGTAAAACAAGATGCCTGATTGGCCTTAAGATCGCCTGGGTTAATATATTTCACACAACACTCGTATCTCGTGTTTGGTTGGTTTTACAAATGATTTATTTCTTGGGTTCGAAAGAATGTATAACTAAGAAATATACATATGTAACTTAACACATAAAACAACAAAGATATCTTTCATACCATCACACATACGTTTTACCTATAATGGAGTTCATCACATTCATCGCGCTGTGCAATTAATTTTCAAATTATAAATTAATTGAATTATAATAAAATAACTAAACGCAACGCATGTCCAGGATGCTATGGACAAAGAACTTCTTTCAATGTAAGTCGGAAGTATGCAGTGTCTATCATGTAAGTATTACTCCTTAGAGTGTCTCGAGTCGTGTGTCGGACTATATTTGATATAATGGTCAAGCAAGTGCTGTTATTGGTCAGTTGACTAAATAATAACTCTGACCAATCGAGTTAGTAACGAACAAGCAACACACAAAACGAGTACGCCAACACGATCAATGACATTACAAACATGCGCACTTTCAGGTAAAATACATACCTGAACTCTTACGTGTGTATGTAATGCACATATAATTATTACCGGGCTACATATACACATATTAATAAAGTGTTGTGACAAAGAATTAAAGGACATGTAACAAAAAACGTCTGTCTGATTGTGTATTGGCTTTTACAAAATGAGGATCCAAATACCACCACGTTTCAGCAAAACTATGAAGATAGTTTCTAAGGAAAAGTTCAAAATATGATAGTTTCAGGTTTTGTACTAATTAACCCCTATGATCCCCAACATCTGAGGGGTAAGCTCCTTCTCGAGTTTAAATATTGATCTTCATCATGTAAACACCATTCTTTATAATGTTAAAAGTTTTTCAAAAGAAGTCTTTGGAAACTTTTGAAATATTATCTCAAATTCTGATTCCTACCTCAGTCTGATGATCATCATCAACATTCATTTAAATTTGACGTACTATTTCTACGAAGATAAAAATGATTGTTCGTGAATATTGAAGGTTTTGCTCTAGGTGCAGAGCTTCCAACCTTAGAGATTCAAAAATAGTAATTTCTGACCGCATGACAAAATGAGTGGCCCCAGAAAGATTTTTCAAATTTGAGAGGTCAAATGATTTGTATCTGATGCATTCTTGGAGTAAAAAAGAAGTTGAATTTTTCACTGTTTTGTAAAGTTTTTGTTGTTTAATGTAGTTAACATAACCCACTTTATGCAATACCAGAAATATTAATGATATATATAGCAGTGTACAGTAGCGTACGGCATTCGGCATGGTATTTTAGTGAGATAGCACTTTAATGCCGGCATTAGATCCGCACTATCACAAGGAGGCAAGTACACAAACATACCTTGTCTCCAGCACACAAACACCCGTGCACGCTTACACAATACACATGGATGCAATTTCTAAAATGACCTTAGCTGTTAATAGGACGTTAAACAGTATAAAACACAAAATCAAAATGTGAATAACAGTGCAGAAAATGTCATAATTCTAAATATGAAGCACTACATATATTGTCAAAAGTGTTTTGCAAAGAGCTTTACCTACCTTCTCTAATCAGTAAACTGAAAACAGCATACACTATCGAAAGATACATAGCAAACAAATATGACATTGATGCTTCTATTATCAAAGATTTCAATGCCTATCATATAGTTTTTAGATAATTATATATATATATATACAGTCGAACCTCGTTATCTCGAAGTCGACAGGATCGCTGGAAAACTTCGAGTTATCCGAGTATTCGAGTTAAGCGAGTTCATATGTTTGGCATAAAGCTTGGTAAAGTGTTTGGTCAAATATGAGGCTATCAATACGTTGACTGTCGGAAAAATCAACAACTTATATAAACAGTCGATAAATGACAAAAAGATAACGATATAAAATAAAAATAACAATTTATTCATAATCATATTAATTAATTGATACAAATCAATGTTACAATAA